CTATGGTTCCAATTACAGACTATCGATGAAAAAAAAATTGTATAAAAAATTTAAAATTCAATATATTTAAAATCCAACATATTTAAACGACTCCACAAATGTATTCGATTTACACCAAGAGCAAAGAACCAAGAAACTTGAGTTTTAAGATAAACACTCAAAACAATAAAGAAAACTACAAATTTGACAGATCATAATAAGCCATGAAAAGACAAAAAAAGATGCGTTTTAGAATGAAATTTCAACTGCTTACCTTCTTTCTTGTCCAGAAACTCAGATTAAGGTTGAATTAATACATGTATATATATATTTCAAAAAGAACCCAATAACATATTAATTCAAAACATATTATACAGTGCAATTTCGACAGTCTAACCCCAAAATATATAGTATATATATAAATAAATAACTATAAAAGTATAAATCGTAAATATTAAAAATATATTTTCACAGTATATATAATATATAATAATATAATTAAGTAAAAAACTATTCAATGTTTGACTTATTTCGAAGATATTAACGTGACGATTATAATGGTGTAACATGTTAAAATAAAAATATATTTTTTACATGTTTTAATTGATATACAATTATGTATGTTAATTTGATAAAGGTTTAAAATGAAACATTTAAAAGTAAAGAACGTAAATTAATTAATTAATAATAGGGATATAAAGTGTAAATTTAAAATTATAATTTTAAAAAAATTGTGAGAAGGTGAGTGTATGTAAGGAGAGGAGGGGTGAAAAAGTAAAAAAATGAGTATAAAGGGTATTTTGGTCATTTAGAATTTTAAGACTTTAAGACTTTTGTTAAATTTGTTTAATAAGATAGTATAGATAAATAAATTAACTAATACAATTCATTTTATTTATACATAATTTAATAAAAAATCAACTAACATGGTGCATGGGATTGCTTATCTATACTATATTACAAAACATTTGACAAAAACTCTTAAAAATCATTTTTTATACATGAAGTACAATTTATTGATGTAAATTATTTAAAATTCAAGATTACAAATAAATTATGCATACATACAACTTATTAAAACTTCATGTTTGAATATGTGTAATTAACTGTAGATAAACATAATCTAGAGGATAAACATCTCGTTTTAATTATAAAATATTCAAAATATAATTAGGATAATCATTGAGTTTTAACAAAATACTTAAGTATTATTAAACAAAAAATAAAAAATAAATCAAACAAATACACAAAAAAATGAAAAATTTTAAATAGTTAGTTTTGTACTAATATCAATATTTTTTTTTTCAATTTTTTATGAAACCTTCATATTTATGTTTTATTCAAAAATAAAAACATTATCGTTTTCTCAAAACCACATAAAACCGTATTATAACATCAACTGAGATAAAGAAACGAAACATTAAAAATCGAGATGTATCTCGCTGCATTATGCGAGTAGTATTATAGTAAAAATAACTTATTTACTTATTCCGGCGTGACACTGGCAATAAGTATTTTTGAATGTTTGGATAAACAGTTTATATTGGTGCCAAATCGGTAATAAAGAATTTTTGATAAAGGTAAATCATTTTAACTTATAATAAATTAATAAAAGACTTTTATAAAAAAAAACATAAGTTATTACTAAAACACATAGAAGATGATAATATGGATATCCAAGTTAAAAGTGATCCATTTTGAAGTTATGATTGGGTTACTTTTTATTTGGTGATTGGTGAATAATATGGTATCCTATGATTGATTTTTATGTTACCTTTTATTTGTATGGTCATCTTTTCTATATGCTCTTTTTTTTATTTTGTCCTACTTTGTGGTGGCCCACCAAGAATATGATTGATTTATGAGTAAAATATATAGAAAATTGTTAATTTACTTCTTATTTGTTAAATTACATTTTTATCCTTGGCTTTATAACGTATTACTATTTTTGTTATTATGGTTTATAATTTATTGTCGTCTTAGTATCTTCTACTAAACCATTGACGGAGTTAGTTTCAGAAATAAAAACAACAAAGAATTGCATAAAAACAAAAGTGGGAATTTCTTTTAACAGATCACAAGGGGGAAAAACGTAGTTTACTCTTGATTCACTGTGAATATCGTTTTGACATGCATAACGGATTCGCACTTTAATTTCAAAATATACGATTTTGATCAACACCGTTAATGTGGTTGGTGGTCTATTTCGGTGCCTGTTCTCTTTTTGTTCATTAAAGGTTGGCTACGTGTTATTTTTTTTTAAGACAGGAATATAATCTTATAGAATCTGTAAAGTTTCACATAAGAATCATTTCAAAAAGATTTCAGATATGTCAATGATGGAAGGTTAAAGTTCGATGAATATTGTTACAGATAAAAGTTGTCATCTTGTGTTTTCTATTAGACATTCTGATTTTATTCGAATGCCAATTGTATTTACCAAAATAGGTAATGGTTAATCCACTACAACAAAAATTGGCTTCTTAAGACATCCACCCATTTTAGCAAAGTACTTAATAAGACTATTAACTTCGTATGACCAGTAAGTGTTGTCTTATATACACTTTTTACGGAGAGTGTTACACAAGACACTTTAAAATGCGTTTTATAAAAGGATTTAATGGTATGAATTACTTCTTGAGTACTATTAAGTCAACCAACTTTATTCTAATAACTAAGGATGAAAGGGGTGCTTGAGATTTGCTTATTTGAAACAACTTATGCTTTTATATAAAAATATTTATCAACTTATTATAAGTCAGAAGGTTTAACTTCTTCAAAAAGTTATTATTACCGGTTTGACACCGTTATAAGTTGTTTATTCAAACACTCAGAAGTGCTTATTACTAGTGTCACACCGGAATAAGTCAATAAGTTGTTTTTATAAGCAATCCCAAACACCCCCTAAATATTATAATACAAAAAGGCTCCACCAACGAATTTGTGGCAGATTACCGACGGATTTTTCCGCTGGTGATGGTCAATCTGCTGGCTGTGAAATCCACTTGTCATGGTCTTTTTCGACGGATTACCGACGGATTTTTCAATTATTAAACCCCATTTGTTCTGTAATGAAACTTGTTAGAGTGTCTAATTTCATCCTGACAATTGAGCATCCACAAGGGTTAACTTTTCAAAAGACTTACTGTTTTCATTAGAATCAAATTTCTGCTAACTTTTTCTTTAAAATAAAAACTGTAATTAATTTTAACATCATTTCTTTTTACTTACAAGTTACAGTAGTTATCGTATACCACATATAATTATTCTTTTTTTCATAAAAATTAAACTTATCGACATCATTGATCTAAATAATTTATCTGATTTTATTTAAAATCAAAATAAAATAACAAGAAAACAGTCTTAAAAATAAAGATAAGGTATAATAAATATGTCTTTTAGGATTGAAAGAGAATTCATATAAGTGGTCCAAGGTTGTTCCTACTCCATATATACCTATTTAAACTACACCACAAAAGGCCATGCTCCATACCCCCCCCCCCCCCTTCCTTCATTCTATATGCACCATATATATATTGCCTAGGACCCAATGAATATACAAACTCTTAAAACCATAACCACTTTCCTATATCTATATAATTTATATCCATATAATGATATCGTAATTTCACGAAACAGCTTTTTCAAGAAATGAGTCGATGTGTACCGAGCTGGGATCTGGAAGACGTTAACGCTAATCATGATGTTTTCAGGTGATCTATCTTTTTTCCCGATTAAAGTTGTATGTTCATGTTTTACTGATATGGTATATGTGTTCATGTTTTACTGATATGGTATATGTGTTCATGTCTGATGACTACAAAATCTTTGTTGTTGTGATCTTTTAATTATGGTTAATTTAATCCCAATTGAATATGTACCCATTAATGACTAGCGCGAAATATTGTATGAAAAAGAAAGTCATGATTAGATTCGTAATAAGATATTTTAATCTTTAATCAGTTTTAATCTCATGAGCACCTATTAGTGTTGACATCAATTAGAATTGATTCAAGGGTCGAGATTTATTCTTATGATTCTCACTATAACTTAATGACTATACGTTCAAATAGTTTTAAATGAATTATGAGTAAATTTTTGACATTATGTATAAGTGAGACTTCTTTAGTATAGAATGGTCAAAGGATTCTTCTATTTTGAAGAAAATTATGGTAAGAGGTATTAAACAGTAATTAATGAGAACGAAAATAAAAGAAATTGTTTGGTTTTTAATAATAAAATGGATTTATTCCTAAAAAACTCGAATTTTTATTTCAGATTAAACCTGAACAGAATGCAAATTCATTCCCATTTTTATCATCTGTCAGTTTCTTTTTCATATTCTTTTTTTATTCCTATTTGGGTGTTTGAGATTGCTCATAAAAATAACTTATTGACTTATTTTGGTATGGTACGGCTAATAAACACTTTTGAGTGTTTGAATAAACAACTTATACCGGTGTCAAACCAACAATAAGAAATTTTTAAAGAAATTAAATCTTGTGACTTATAATAAATTGATAAGTGTTTTTGTAAAAAAACATAATAGGAATCAACTTTTGATTGATTTATATATGTAATTAAAATGATTAATTTAATTTGCAGGTTAGAATATGAAGTGGCGGAATTAAAATGGGAAAATGGGCAGCTAGCCATGCACGAGTTAGGTTCCCGGCGCGTGCCGACCAAATCGCACTCGACGACATCTATTCTTCCGAAATACACGTGGGAAAAGCCACGCGCCGCCGAGACTCTCGAGGCTATAGTAAACCAAGCCACCCTTCAATCCTACTGCAAAACCCAAGAAGCGGTTGACGAGGAGGAGGAGGAGATAGTCCTATGGCTGAACCAGAACCACCACCTCCCAACCGCGGCTGTCGGAAGTGTCAACGCGTTGTCGGCCACCACGACTTCCGACGCGTTGGTGCCCAGCGCTAACAACAGAAGCGATGTCGATGTGAGATCTGGTCCGTCAACCATGAGTGTTCGTGATGCTGGTTGCTCGACGCGTGTTGGATCATGCAGCGGTGATCCATCAGCATTTGTGGACCGGAGGGTGGCTCGTGGTGGCGGTGAAGCACACGATTGGAGTAGCTGCAGGGACCAGAGCCTGAGTGAGAGTGGGACTTTTGTGACGCTGGATACATGCGACGGCGATTTGGATGGTAGACGGTTGATGTCTACTTCAACGGCGTGGCCGGAAAATACTAGCTCCGGCAAAGACTTCTCAAAGTCAACGTCTCGCGATGACTCTGTTTCTCATCCTAGAACTCAGGTAACTTCTCAAATGTTGACACGTGTTGTTCAATAATTTGGACTTCCGAAATATTTGTAAAACTAATTTATACTTAGAAGGCTATTCACTTATTATACTAAGATATATCTTGATTTTAATGTTTCGTTTTATTTTATTTTTGTAAATGTTTTAATATGATGTTTATGTGATTTTGAGAAAGAGATAATGTTTTTATTTTTAAATAAAATATAAATCGGAAGGTATTATAAAATTTCAAAAATAAATATATCAAATTAACTATTTAAAAGTTTTTATTTTTTGTGTAATTCTTTTAATTTAATTTTTTATTATAATTTAATTTAGATTTTATAACAAAGTTATTTATTTTTGATTTATTAATATATTTTTTATAAAAATAATAAATAAATATTATGTTAAAAATCAATAATTATTCTAATTATATTTTATATTTAAAATGAAATGTTTATCTTGTATTTGATTATGTTTATCTTCAATTAGTTGCACGAATTCAAACATGGAGCTTTAATAAGTTGTATTTATATATAATTACTTGTAATCTTGAATTTTAAGTAATATACATTAATAAACAGTGCTTCATGTATAAAAAATGGTTTTTAAGAGTTTTTGTCAAATGTTTTATAATATAGCCCACACACACACACACACACACACACACATATATATATATATATATAGGGTTGGGTTCACGTGAGACCAGCCTGTTTTCGTGAGACCCGTGAGACCACATTTTTACACGTAAATTTCACAGCAAAAACACTATGAAGGTTTAAAAAAAGTCGAACCTTCACAGCAAAAACACTGTGAAAGTTTAAAAAAGTCATCTTCACAGCATTTTGCTGTGAAGTTTCAAGTGTAAAAAGTTGGTCTCACGGGTCTCACGAAAACAAGCTGGTCTCACATGATCCCAAGTCTATATATATATATATATATATATATATGATTTAGTTTACGTGAGACCAGACTGTTTTAATGAGGCAAATGAGACCATTTTTTATGCTTGAAATTTCACAAAAAAAAAACATTGTGAATGTAAAAAAAAAATCGGAACCTTCACACCAAAAACATGACTGTGAAAGTTATCTTCACAATGTTTTGCTGTAAAGTTTCAAGTGTAAAAAATGGTTTCATGGGTCTTATGAAAATAGATTGATCTCACGTGATTCCAACTCTATATATATAAACCATAATATTTTTTTGTTAGACCAGTGTTTTATAATAATTATTTTCGTATCTGATAGCGGGAGGCGAGCGTGATTAAAGAAAAGAAAAGAGTAAAGGAGAAATGTTCGATCTCAAATAAACGGAAAAGGATGCCTGCAATTCGTAATCAATCCGAACGGGTAAATATTGGTTGTATAAAATTGTTCTACTTGGGGCTGTTTACCGAACTCTTACCCGGTAAGCGTTTGTCGGTAAAATTTAATACTGTCATTTTACTTATCGGATAAGACTTTAGTCCAGCAAAACAATATCATATGCAACAATTTACCCAGTAAGTTCTTACCGTGGTAAAAGTCATCGCCCTCACTTACCGGGTAAGATTCTTGGTCCTTACCATATTCATCTGGTAAGATAATGTGACTTATTATTCACTTACCCGAGTAAGCGTTTGATAAACGATCCCTTAATTCACTTGCTCTTGTGGAATGCTAGAATTTTTATATACGTAAGATTCATGCCAACATGTTAATGTTACGATTTGTCAGAAACGAAGAGACAAAATCAATGAAAAAATGAAGATGCTACAAAAGTTGGTTCCCAACTCCAGCAAGGTATGAATCTAACATATGTTACTCTCTCTCTCTCCCTCTCTCCCTCTATGAGGTGGACAAAAACCAGTCTCAGGTCCCAAATAATAACAATCCGGATTGGTCTTGGTCTCAGTCCCGTTGAAAATACTAAGGCCCGGTTAAGGGTACTTGTAACCGGTATCATGCCGGGTCCAAACCGGTCCTATATTAAAAAAAACATTTTCTTTTTAATTTCTTTTTGATAAATTTTAAAAAATATTTTACTGTTATTCTAATACATTTTAAAATATCTAATTAGGTCAATCAAATACATTTAAAAAATACGTTTTATTGTAGTTTATAATTGGTTTTCAATTAAGTACACTTAAAAATTATGTTTTATTATAGTTTTGTAATTGGTTTTCAATCAAATACACTTAGAAAATATGTTTTATTGTAAATTTGTAATTTGATTTTCAATCAAATACACTTAGAGAGCTAGAAATACATTTAAAAATACATATACAAATACAGGCTGGCCGGGACTTATTTTTGGATGAAAACCATAACCAAGCCTAAGTCGGTCCCGGGCTGGGCCGGGACCATTTGGCCATCTCTGCTATATATACACACGTATATATATATATATATATATATATACACACACACACACATATAGAAGAAGTTTACTTTACAAATCACGTTATTTGTACAAACCGTACAAACCTCATTCAACCAATTATAATTTTTCATTTTGTTTATTTTTTTTGTAATTACGAGAGGTTGATTAATAATTTTTATTGTGGAGGGTGTTAATAATGGATATTATCATCTTCTTTATTTTAATTTTAGAGAAATACATGAAACAGTTTCATTAAGTATTATATGAAACAATTTTATAACCATATATGAAACAACTTCATCAATAAAACAATTTCACAAGATTAAACAATTTCATGAATAAATTTCTTAAGATTAAACAATGAAATCGACGGATGAAGGTGGTTTGCTTGCACGGTTCGTACAAATTGGATGGTTTGCATTTGATCGTTTCTCTTTATACACACATATATATACACACACATACATACATATATATATATATATATAAATATACTGATATACATACATGCGCATAATCCTATGTATTTGATTGTTTATTGTGTTTGCAGACGGATAAAGCGTCGATGCTTGACGAAATAATAGAATACGTGAAACAGTTGCAATCATACATTCATATGATCAACAGAATGAACATTTCATCAATGATGATGCCATTAGCCATGCAGCAACAACAACAAATGCAGATGTCCATGATGAGCTCCATGGGCATGGGGATGGGGATGGGCATGGGGATGGGAATGGGAGGCATGGATATGAACACCATCGGTTGCTCCAACATTCCGACCCGTTTCCATCCCTCCACTTTCATGCACATGCCTTCTTGGAACAACCACACCACCAATCCTGCTGCCAACAATACTGTGTTGCCTGCTGATCCCATGTATACTTTTCTTGGTTGCCAACCTCAATCTCAGGTAACACCTTCATTTATTCCAATTTAGGGTTGTTTGTTTACCTTTTAATGGTTCTATTAAGAGACAGCCTCTGAATCGTTAAAAGATGATTCTTGTTTGGCAAAAAAAAAGTTTCCCTCTTAATGGTTCTAAAATTCTCTGAATGGTTTTGTATCTTATGTATCCCTTAACCATTCAACACTCTAATTTCATTATGAATAATTACCAAACAATTATATTTCATTTTGCACCAAACCATTCAGCAACTGCCAAACAACCCCTTGTTATTTCTAATTGAACTCTTTAGGTCATGTTTGGAAACCATAACCTTGCTTACGGTAAAAATCTTGTTAAGCTTATAAACAAGTTTTTAAAAAGCTACTTAAAATAGTTTTTTAATCAAGCTTTAGGGGGTGTTTGGGATTGTTTATTTGAAACAACTTAATTTTTTCTACAAAAGTGCTTATCAACTTATTATAAGTTAGTAAGGTTTAACTTTTTCAAAAACTCTTTATTACCAGTTTGACACCAGAATAAACTGTTTATCCAAATACTCAAAAGTGTTTATTACCGGTGTCACACCGGAATAAGTCAATAAGTTGTTTTTATAAGCAATCCCAAACACCCTCTTAAGAAATTCTTTTCACTTCTTTAAATCCCTTTCTATTTTAAAAATTGAGCAATTTTGACATGGGATTTTTAACATTACTTCATCAACAAACTTATCGACTTACAACTAGCATATTAACTAACAGCTAACTTTTCAACCAACAATTAACTTGTCAGCTACTTGTACATTATGCATTAAAAACTGTACATTTTAGTTAATTGTATTTGGATTTGTTGCTTAATGACTAGTCCATAACACATAGAAATTTGAATATTTCATTTGCATATTTCATTTGCAGCCAATGAACATGGATGCTTATAGTAGAGCTTTGTATCAACATATGCAAAATCAACCTTGTGCCCCAATTCCCAAGAACTGATCGATGTAGTTATAAAGACTTCGGAAAACCGCATCTGACAGATAAAACCCCCTTCCTTTTTGTCGTTCATCTGAGTGATTCATTTTCATTACTTTGAGCATGTTTTAAGAACTAACAGTAGTTTATAGACTATTGTCTTAGACTTACGTTATGCACGCTTGTGAACTCCTTATGATGTATAATATTATGAATTCTTAGTTGTATAGTACATTCTTGTGGTATTAGGGTTGTAACTTAATTGGTTATGATGGAAATCATGATTCGTTTGATAGAAATGAATAAATGAGTGTGAAATGATCAAAGATGTTGTTGAGTTCAAGAATGTGCTTTAAAGTTGTATTCAAGTTCTCCCTTTGTAATGTTTTTGTAAAAGTTAGCATTTACAATTTCCTTAGTATAAATAGGATTTAGTCTCTTAATTGTCATTAGTTCAGTTGATATTTCCAGATTAGTTGCTAATCATCTTGTACTTTCTCTCAAAGACATCCAATACAATATTTGGTGAAAATCTCTCTCTACTAATCTTGTTCTTAATCTTGAAGAATTATTCTGATTTGTATGATTTGGGAACATCAATTGGTATCAGAGCACAGATTGCAGCGATTTGTTTTAGAGGATTTTCAATTTTTCGAGGAAATTTGCACGGATTTAGGGGATTTAACGGACTGTTCTTGATCTGTTCTTCATCTGTTCTTGAAGTTAATCGACCAGATTGCACATTTTTGGCTTTAATCACATCGATTTTGAGTGTTAATTTGCACTACTAGATTCGTATTTTCAATCTGAACATATTTGAGTCACATCAATTTTGATTTTAATCAAGTTTTGAACCGATTTTAATCAATTTTTGAGTTTACGAAAACTGTTTCTGTTCTTCAAAAACTCATAATTTTTCATGTTTTGATCCAAATTTTTGGTGAAAAAGTGTTAAAGTTGTGTTTTTGCTTGAATTTTAATCCGTATAACTCTTGATCGGTTTAGTGTAAATCGCCTAGTGCTTGTACGATTTAAGACTTATGAATTTTTTGTGAATTGTGATTGTTCGATTTAGGATAAACCGGGTAAGACTTGATCGATTTAGATTTTAAATCATTTGTAACGTGTGCGAATTAGTAAGCGGTTTAGCTTAATCCGCCTGATATATTGTGGAATAGTTGTGCGATTTAGTTAATGTGTTGTGCGATTTAGTTGATGTATTGTGCGATTAAGTTGATTTGTTGTGCAATTTAATTATGCGATTTAATCTCGGTCATTGTGTTGTATGCGATTTAATTTTTGATCGTATTGACTTTGACTTTCATTGTTGAACGGATTGTTGAGCGGGTTTTAACTTTCTTTAATGAGCGGATTGATATCTTTAACTTTTTGAACGAATTGATATCTTTGACTTTTTGAACGGATTGAATTTGTTGACTTTGAATTTGAGCGGATTTGTTCGTATTTTGACTTGTTGACTAGGTTGACTTGACTTGTTGACTTTTCACGTCCGTATTCAATTTTGGAAATTGTGCGAATTTGACTAAATGTTTTAATTGACCGGATTTCTCACCCGGATTTGTTGTTAATTGTGCGATTTTGATTGCCTTTGTTGTCCGGATATCTAATCCGGATAACTTGAGTTGATTAGAATTTCTAGACTATCTTTTTGTCCGGATATCTAATCCGAATAAGCTTGTCCGGACTTCTAATCCGGATAAGCTTGTCCGGACTTCTAATCCGGATAAGTCTGTGTGCTTAATTTTTTCTAAGTCTTGAATGAGTGAAAATCCTTGTGTGCGATTTAATTGAAATAATTTTTGAATTATAATCCTTTATATCAAATTTTGAACTGCAGTTGATCCGATATCATACTAATCTGATATAATGAGTTCAAGAGAGGCAATGGTTATCGGTACTGACACCAAGCCACCAGTATTGTTTAAAGGAGACTACAACCAGTGGAGAGACAGATTCCTGAACTTCATAGAAAGAATGAAAGAAGGTGAACTGATTATGGAATCCTTGAAGGTTTATGAAGATTGATCAATATTGGACTCACAGATGTTTAAGAGAGATTTGTCTTAAAGTGGTGTTCTATGAGAAAGTATATATAACTTTGATGTCTTTCGATAAAAGTAGAGTTTTTGTTGTTTAGAGGTGTTCGGGGCTAAGATAATTTTCTAAACTGGTCGGTTTTGCTTGAAGTAACGAAACCCTGAATGCGGTTTAAGATAATTTTCCACATTGTTTGATTTTAGACTTTCTACCAGTTTGCATAGTATAAACTTATTATGGGGTTTAACTCTAATTTGTATCTATACTATATTATAAATCATTTGACAAAAACTCTTAAATTTTTTTTTATGCATGAAGTACTGTTTATTGATGCATATTATTTAAATTCAAGATTACAAGTGTTATAACCGGGTTTCAGACAACCTGGGTTGAGGTAATCTTATACGTGGTTATTATGTGAATTACGTGATGACATGCATGATATTAAATGAAGTGCATGAATAGTATGCGTATATGTGAAAAGTTGTTACTATGCATGCATGAATTATGTGTGTACGTATATGGTGTGAAGCATACATGGGTTTTATCATTAAAAAAATAAGAAGATGTGATATCTTCATAGTGAAGAAAGAAGGTTTTAATATAATAAAAACCCACTACCGCCTATAAATTTTATATTAATAAAAAGGACTCCACCGCCTATGTGAAAATATATAAGGAGAGAAAAGAGATAAGATCTTATCTTATCATCTTATTTTTAGAAAGAAACCTTTTAGAGAGAAAAAAGTGTGTGTGACGATGGAAGTATTTTTTAGAAGAGTTTTGCACAAAAGCAATTTGAGGATCCTGTGTTGTTTAAAGAAACTACGGTGTGGGTGAATCTATCAATTTGTGCCTGATAAGGTGAGTTTTGATAACTAAAAACCTTTTTATGTGTTGTTATATAAACTGCTGGGTTTTGATGTTAATTTTGAAGAAAAGATGGTAAAACTGTTTTTGACAGTTTAAAGGTGTTATGGTTGTAAATTTGAGTATTGGAAACTGTTTTGGAAAGATAAAGAAGAGGTTACTTCTTTAAAAACAGTTTTGGAAATGATATATTGTTTTGAGGATTTAAAGGAGAATTCATGTTTTGGAAATCATTGAAAGAACAGATTGTTCTTGAGTTTGAAAGGTTTTGATGATAAAACTATTTTGAAACCATTATTGGTTAAAAACTATAGAGGAYGTTYCWTCAAGACGGTTGTGACTTTGGTCTGTCTTCGTTTGGAACTAATCCATAGATTTTGATGATGAAATAAGGGTGGCATATCATGGAGAGGTGTACCTTCGGCTATAAGGGTGGCATATCATGGAGAGGTGTACCTTCGGCTATAAGGGTGGCATATCATGGAGAGGTGTACCTTCGGCTATAAGGGTGGCATATCAAGGAGAGTTGTACCTTTGGATATAAGGGTGGCATTTATGTGTGGTTATTATAGCTTTTGTTATTATGTCTCTTAATATTATAAGAGATTTGAGTTCTTACTTCTTTGTGATTTGAGGACTCAAAGATGTTGCTCTTATTAGAAATGATAGTATTGGTGTTATTGAGAAGGAGAAAACTTGGTTTATGACCAATGGTTTTGGATAAACTCTGTTTTGGAACAAGTGTTTGACTTAAGAGGAACCAGAGAAGGTCTTTGGTTGTTCCTTGAAAGGAACCAGAGAAGCTCTGGTTGGTCCTCATAGTAAAACCAGAGGGTTCTGGACGTTGATTTGAGAATTATGCAAGTTTTTGCTAAATGCTTTTAGTTAAACCAGAGGCTCTGTATCTATAGATAAGAGCTCTGTGTCAAAATTTTACTTTTAAGAGTTTTCAAATAGGTTTATACTTAGAAGTTTTTCTTAAAAAGTAAGGCAGACTAGAGGGGCTCTGGTTGGCCTACGCGGGTTGAACCAGAAGCTCTGGTTGGTCTTGCATTTTGAGTTAGAAGCTCTGGCTAGTAGAACCAGAGATCTGGTCATATAAAATCCTTTTTAAAATGTGTTTTTATTATTGGGAAAGCTATTTTTTTATCTATGAGGTTGATCTATGAATGTTTTGAGAATTTTACCCAAGTAAGAAGCTCTGGTTTGCTTAACCAGAAGCTTTGGTAGAGGAACAGAGGAGCTTTGGTCCTTTTGTTTGTTGAAATATTTTCTAAGTCTGGTCTTTAGAACTAGAGGTCCGATGGACACAAACAGACTATGATTCATACTTCATTATGTGAAATAATTTTATTTGAATAATGTTTTGATGATTTTCACCCTGCAACTACATGGAAAAAGGGATCTCACTAGACCTGTAGGTCTGACCCTCATTTTGTGTTTTCAAATATGTGTTGCAGGAAATGCAGACTATAATGATAGTAAAGAAAAAAGGAAAATGTGAACAATTTCTCTATATGCTTAGCTATATGAAGATTATATTTGGATATGTTTTGGACGATAGATGTTATGGATACAAGAACATATATTTTGGAATTTTTGTGTTGTGTATTTTGTAATGTAGACTCTTATATTATGGACCTTTGTGGGCTTGAACATGTATTCTATGAATGAAAATATGTGTTATATGCAATGTGAGTTTGCGGGTTGTCATTAGAGCCCGAGTTTAAGAGATTTAGGTATTCACATGCATGATGCCTAAACAAAAACTGTTTCATTGCATATTAGGGGTCCCAAACATAGTTAGCACCTTTGAAATAAATATAATAAGTTAAGAGATCAGTGTGTAAGATATTTTCGGATTACATCTGGCCAATGTAATTTTGAATTTACAGGTACATAAGTGAACTTGGACACTTTATTATATTTGGGAATGTGAAAAATGTGTTTATTAACTTTGATATCTACATATGACAGTAGATTCAGAAGGTCTGAAAGGATCACCCGCCCCAATCCTAATGAAGAAGAGGATTCCCCTATTCTTGCTCCCATTGGTACCTCTGAGAGCAGAGGCAGAGGCAGAGGTCAAAGCAGAGGACAAACAAGAGCTAGAGATAGCCAAATAGAAGCCCATACAGATCAAGCAGAGTCGAATTCTGAAAACATGAATCAAGAACAGATGCCTCTTCTTGAGTATGTAACCAGAGACATGTTGGCCAAAGAAATGAGAAAGCTAAGGGAAACCTTGAATTCCATTATGGGATTTCTGCCAGAACCGAGACTGGCAGAGTTGAAATTAATCCATCAGTCCCGGTTGTCAACAATAGAGAAGGAGATATCAAGATATTCTTGACTTGCAAACCACCAACCTTCTCGGGGGAAAGTGATCCAATTAAAGC